TATATATATATATATATATATATATATATATATATATATATATATATATATATATAGCCAGTCGCTCAGCCCACCCTCCTATAATGTAAACATATACCACTAGAATGTGGCAGTGAGGAGGGTATTATCCCAGTTATACTAAGGAGGAAATGGAGGCACGGTCATACCCAGAGCAGCCAACCCGATGGCTTGTTCCCTGTTGACTCTGGGTTTTCACACCCTTCTCCAGAGCGGTGGGAAAACCACACATGCCCCCTCCCTGGCCTGATTGGCTTTTTTTTCTTTCATAATTCTGCCTTGCTGGGGAAGGGCAGCTAATCAGAGCCTGGTCTCTCAGCAAATGTCACAAACAGCACTCTCCTCCCCCATCCTGTAGGACAGAGGTGGGCAAACTTTTTGGGACAAAGGCCACATCTGGGTGGAGCAATTGTATGCAGGGCTGGGGCAGGAGGTTGGGGTGCGGGAGGGAGCGCGGGGTGTGGGATGGGGTGCGGTGTGCAGGAAGGGGCTCAGGGCAGGGGGTTGGGGTGCAGGAGGGGAGTGAGGTGTATGGGGGGCTCAGGGAAGGGGGTTGGGGTTCAGGAGGGGTGCAGGGTACGGCAGGGGGCTCAGGGAAGGGGGTTGGAGTGCACAGGGGTGTGGGGTGTATGAGGGGGCTCAGGCCAGGGTGTTAGGGTGCAAGAGGGGTGCAAGGAGCAGGCTGGGGGCTTAGGGCATGGAGTTGGGGGGCAGGCTGCAGGAGGGCTTTGGGCTCTGGAATGGCAGTGGCACCCATCGGGGCCAGAGCAGGCTCCTTGTCTGCCTGCCCTGTCCCCGGCCCCGCGCCGCACCAGGAAGCGCTGCAGCCCCTGGGGGAGCAGGGCGGAGAGCTCTATGTGTGCTGCCCTTGCTCCTCCTCCAGGTACCTCCCCCGAAACTCCCATTGGCCACGGTTCCCTGTTCCCGGCCAATGGGAGCTGCGGGAGGCGGTGCCTGGAGGCAAGAGCAACGCACGGAGCCCTCTGCTCCCCCGCTGGGGGGCCGCAGGGGCGTGGTGCCGGCCGCTTCTGGAGAGCGCTTCTGGGGGGCAGTCCCGTGGGCCGGATCCAAAGCCCTGAGGGGCCAGATCCGGCCCGCGGGCCGTAGTTTGCCCACCCCTGCTGTAGGAAGTGAAAAGGCTTGGCTTTGGAAGGGGGTCATCTGATAGGGACTGCTGCCCCTTCAGCTCTATAGCCGTCCCACAACCTAGCAGGGCCTGGGCCTGTTCACAAACTGAGCCCTGCTCCCTTGTGGGTGGAGTTTCCCTTCCTATTCCCAGCCAGGCCCCTCCTACAAGGGGTGGAGCTATGTGTCAGTGGGGCTGGGCTGTGGGATTGAGTGGTGGAGGGAGTGGCTACTCTGAGCAGCTCCCCATGTGGAACGGGAGATGGGGGGCAAGGGAGGAGGGGTGGCTGGGGAGCAAGATGGCACCAGTGCTAAGGGGGCAGCTGGTCACAGGGGTTGGGTGTGGGGCTACTGGGGGCAGAAGAACATGGCACCTGGGAGTTCAGAAACAGGGGGAGAGGGCAGGTCCAGGTCAGCCAGCACCACCTATTCAGGGAACTGGGATCGTCTGCCTCCCAAACTGGATCTAACTGGTGCAGAGTCCTGGGGGTGGGAGGGGAAGCAGTGCCAGAATCTTTGCTTCCCCTTCCTGGGGCGAGCTGGGTAGACAGAGCCAGCTCAGGGGCGTGGGGAGAAGCAGAGCGGTCTAAGCGGCCAAGAGAGTCCCAGGAGGACGTACAGAGGGACTCTGTTACAAGGAGGCAGCCAGGGCATCCGTCCCAGCTCATGCCCGGACGTGTTTTCTCTTCTAGCCACGCTTCTAACATCGTGCGAACTGACCTGGAAGCTCCGTTGGTCCTTGCACATTAGACGGCGCCAGCGTGGGTTTGGCCCAGGAATTCCCACTACACAGAGTGCTGGAGGCAGCTGGGACTCACCAGGCCATGTGTGTGGCTGAAACCCTGGGCTGATGTGTCCAGAGCTGTGTGAGGGAATTGGGTGCACCACGTTCCCAGCTTTGGATATCTCAGCGCGCACACACACACACACACACACACACACACACTGTATAGAGCTATCTACCGTCAGGGTTGCATTATCAAAAGCATCCAAAGGAATTAGGCACTAGAGCTGGTTGAAATTTTTTGGCCAAAACTGCAGAATTGGTGACACCAAAAGGTTCCACAAATTTGTCTTGATTTTTGCCAAATTGCTCATTAAGAAAAAAATCTAAGGGGGAAAAAAAAAAGAGGGCTTTGTCTTGATATTTTCCAAAAAAAAAGTTTCAATTTTAATTTCAAAATTTCCTTTTATTTTATTTTTTAAAAATCCCCAAACATTTTGAAGTGGTCAAAATTTAAATGAAATGGTTCATTTGAACCCCAAACAATTTTTGTTCAAGTTTTCAATTAGCCAAAAATGACGAAAAGTTACATTTTCGGTCCAGCCCAGAACAGTTTTTCCCCCCTGACTTTTCAAAATTGTAAATGAACTAAAAAATCAATTATTTGCCCATCTCTATTAGGCTCACAGACTTTAAGGCCAGAAGGGACCATCATGATCATCTAGTCTGATCTGCACATTACACGCCACAGAATCTCATCCACCAACTCCGCAATAGACCCATAACCTCTGGCTGAGTTACTGACATCCTCAAATCATGATTTAAAAACTTCAAGTTACAGAGTTCAAACCAGCAAGTGACCTGTGCCCCATGCTGCAGAGGAAGGCAAAAAATCCCCAGGGTCTCTGCCAATCTGACGTGGGGACAAATTCCTTCCCTACTTTAAATATGATGATCAGTTATACCCAGGATGGGCAAACTACGGCCCACCGGCCAGATCCAACTCACCAGCCATTTTAATCTGGCCCTCGAGCTCCCGCTGGGGAGTGGGATCTGGGTCTTGCCCCACTCTGGCACTCCAGCTGGGGAGCAGGGTCGGGGGCCGCTCCACGTGACCCACGGAAGCAATGGCATGGCCCCCCTCTGTCTCCTATGTGTAGGGGCAGCCAGGGGGCCTTGCTCTGCACACTGCCCCCGCCCCAAGAGCCACCCCTGCATCTCCCATTGGCCGGGAACTGCAACCAATGGGAGCTGCAGGGGCGGTGCCTGCGGACTGGACAGTGTGCAGAGCCACCTGGCTGCACCTCAGCGTAGGAGCCAGAGAAGGGACATGCCGCTGCTTCCGGGAGCTGCCTGAGGTAAGCTCTGCCCTGAGTCTGCACCCCTGAGCCTCCCCCCCACGCTCCAACCCTAACCCTCAGCCCTGATCCGCCCTCCAAACCCCTCTGTCCCAGCCCGAAGCACCCTCCTACACCCCAAACTCCTCATCCCCAGCATCCCCCAGAGACCATCCCCCGCACCCCACCCTCCACCCCAGCCCGGAGCCCCTTCCCGCACCCTGAACTCCTCATTTCTGGCCCCACCCCAGATCACACACCCCCAACCAGAGCCCTCACCCCCTTGCGCCCCCCAACCCCAATTTTGTGAGTATTCCTGGCCCGCCGTACAATTTCTATTCCCAGATGTGGCCCTTGGGCCAAAGAGTTTGCCCACCCCTGGGTTAGACCCTGAGCATGTTGGCAAGACCCACCAGCCAGACACCAGGGAAAGAATTCTCTGTAGTAACTCAGAGCCCTCCCCGTGTAGTGTCCCATCGTCGGCCATTGGGTATATTTGCTATTAGCAGTCGAGCATGGGCCATATACATAAAATTTTAAATTTAATGGAGATATCCTGTCTCCTAGAACTAGAAGGGACCTTGAAAGGTCATTGAGTCCAGCCCCCTGCCTTCACTAGCAGGACCAAGTACTGATTTTGCCCCAGATCCCTAAGTGGCCCCCCTCAAGGATTGAACTCACAACCCTGGGTTTAGCAGGCCAATGCTCAAACCACTGAGCTATCCCATCCCCCCAAACATCACACCATCCCCTCCATAAACTTGTCAAACTCAGTCTTAAAGCCAGTTCGGTTTTTTGCCCCCACTGCTCCCCTTGGAAGGCTGTTCCAGAATTTCTCTCTTCTGATGGTTAGACACCTTCGTCTAATTTCGAGCCTAAACTTGCTGATGGTCAGTTTATATCCCTTTGTTCTTGTGGCCACCTTTGCCCGAAATAATGTTACGCACCCAGCACAACCAGGTGTGGGACATGCTTCCCAGCAGCTATTTTACAAATGCTACCCTCAACAGTTGAAATGCTGCTTTCTTGTTGTCCATTTCTGGCCAGCCCTGCTGATTTGGGGATAAAGCAATAAACGTTTTTACAAACTTTTCCACTGTTCGGTTGGTTTTTTCCACAGCTGAAGCTCAGCCTGGCCCACCTGCCCCATCCCTGCCATTGTGGATGAGATCAATGGACTCATCTACGCGATGTGCCCCTTGCTTTGCCAGATCAAACCCATGGGCCCATCTAGCTTGGTATCAGGCCTCTGACAGGCAGGGCCAGTGCAACCACTTAGGCAAACTAGGAGGCCACCTAGGGCGCCTAGTGGTTGAGGGCTCCTAAAAGCCCGCTCAGGCAAGGAGGTGGAGTGGAGGTGAGCTGGGGCGGGGGCACGGGGAGGGCTACCCACAGTAACAGGGGGGCGCACAGGGGAACTGCTCCCCACCCCAGATCACCTCCACGCTGCCTCCTCCGCTGAGCACACAGCCCTCGCTCTAAGTCTCCTCCAATCGGCGCCGCAAGCCTGGGAGGGGAGGAGAATTAGAGCAGCGTCAGTGTGCTCAGCGGAGGAGAGCTGGGCAGGCTCCCCGGGCGGGGTTAGCTGCCATGGGAGGGGGGCTCCCCACGTGGGGTTAGCTACCGTGAAGGGGGGCGGGGTTAGCTTCTGCGGGGTGGGGCTCCCTGGGCCGGGTTAGCTGCCGTGGAGGGGGAGCTTGCAAGGGGGGTAGCTGCTGCGAGGGGGGGCTCCCCCGGTGGGGTTAGCTGCCGCGGGGGGGGGCTCCTTGGGTGGGA